ACTATTTTCTGTAGATTCTTTTCCAGATTGTTCTGCTATGATTAGTGTCTGGCGAAAAGCTTCAGCAGATATTTCCTTTGCAACATCTCAACCAACAATTGATCCAGTTATCAACGTTATTTTCAAGTTTTGAACAACTCGACTTTCAAGATTTACGTATCTACATGTGCCGATGTTTCCATTTATCAACGTTATATTTTAAGATCTGTGTAAGAACTCAGCATATGTTTCCGCATATAAAATCTATCTTCAAGATTGCTTATTCATGTTCGAGCTCAGTACTGATGAATCTGACTTCGGGATGACAGCTGCATTTGCTAAACTTCAAGCCACAGTAATAATATTTTTCAGGCCTCTTTGTGATTTGCTTCCACTGTCCAAGTTTTTCAGTACGCTATCTATTTGTTTGGTTTGTTTGTTTTGGACCAAAGCCACATTGAGCTATCTGCTGTGTACTCTGCGGGGAATCAAACGCCGGATTTTGGCATTGTAACTCCGTAAACTTGCCGCTTTCCTACTGGGAGACCTATTTATTGGGTGTTCTTATACATTGAATGAAATTTATTTTCAAGTTTGTGTTTTCTTATCACGCAAGTCTTGTTTGCTTTTACACTTCTGCCTGACACACACCTTCCTACTTTTGTATGGTGTACCATTTATTTTGGATCAGACTTTTCACAATCTTTGTACATTGTATCTGTTCGTTTTAAATTATGTGTTTTGCATACGCTGTTTACACATTCTACCAGTTAATAGTGGATTAGAGGGGCGTAATAACTTTTTGTATGTTGTACCATTTCATGTTGTTAAAGCATATCTTACACCTTTTGCGCATTATATCAATTGGTACAATTTGTTGTGTATCTCATGTAAATAACAACATTTACATGTTGTACCTGGTACCTGCTTTTGTTTTAACAATTAGCATGTTCTAAGTCTGATAGATTATGTCTGAGGTTAAAAACACTTTTATTGTTTAAAGAGTTTTCAGATTAAAGCTCATTTTTTATCCCGTTTCTCTGATGGCAACGAAACGCTCAACTGAAATAACATTTTGCTCTTAAACCATTTCTATATAATACCCTTCAAGTCCTGTCCACAGAGAATTTGATTGTACGTGATACTTACTATATAAAATAAAAAGGTAAAGCTATTTTGGACAATATCTCAAAGACAGGCTGAGCATACGAGTTTTTAAAGACACAACTACAAACAGTAAACAAGAAGACAACAGCAATGGAATTGCATACAGAATGTTGTTTGATGTCAAGACACGGATGCTCTTTCTGTGCGCTAATCTAATGATATTATTTTTTTTTTTGCAGTAATTGTGTCATAAATATTCTAGGAAATGGTGGCCACTATCTTTTCAAGCGTTGATTACATTTCTCATATGGCTTGTTTTGGTATACTTATAAATTCTGGAACGTAGTGATAGTTTCATCGGGTCTTCTGCTATCAGCCTATCTCAAGACATTGGAGTAGTCGACGCTTAATAAAATATCAGATATATTCATTGAACTAATGAAATCTTTGATATATTCATTGAATTAATCTTTTTTTTTTCTTTTTACTTAGTTGCACACGACACCAATAATGATTTTAACCGAGTAAGACTCTTTACTGTAGAGATATTTTTTCAAGAGCTCGCTTCTTTATTACGCTTTATAGCCCGCATTTTTACAGTAAAATAAGGTGAGGCAGAAACAGAACCTGGGTAGAAAATCCACCGAGAAACATTCTTCTTGTCGAACTTTGTTTTGGTGAAAATTGCGTAATATCACTTAGTCCTAAGTTTGCCATGTTAAAGCTGACTGCAACTGCATGCAACCACTAATTCCTAATTAAAGTAAACACTAACAGAAGTACATGCGTTTCGCAAATGCTATACAATAACATGATGATTCATTGTTGTTTAAGACTCATAATGTAGGTAAATTAATATTTAGAATTATACACGAACTTTTCTCTACGTTAAAATATTTTTATTTGCGAGCTTTCGGCCCTCGTATCGGAGACTTCTCGGCCAACAATGTACAGTGTAGAGAAAAAGTCCGTGTATAATTCTACAGACACGATGATTCAATTGTCTATTACCTCAATCAAACTTGGAATTTCTTGATTTTTTCTTTATATTGTAATATTTGTAAGTGGTCTAAGTTATACACTCTTTGTTAGGACTAATGTTCCTATGTTAAACAGTCTCATTTTCAATATCGTAATAATACTTTTTAAAGCGTGTTTTGAGTTTTAATTACTACTGATATTTGAAATGAAAATATTATATAAAGAAATGCTATTAATGCTATGACTGCCACGAGTTATATTTCTTTTCATTTTCTACTAGGTGGAGATACTTATGCGCAATGATGAATGCAAGTGAAAAACAAAATAAAAACCTAACCGCAAAAGTAAGTATAAATTGTGTTAGAAATAAAACTGCTACACTTCCCACTAACTCAGAAACTACACAGTGAAATAATTTGAAAATTGAAATATATTTGTAAATTTTGAGACATTTTGAGCAGGACAACCTTCAATAACCGCAAAAAGCCACAAATATCAAGTTGATTATTTATTAACAATGTTAAAATAATATCTGTCCCTCCACTCATGTCAATAGAGCCTAGTCTTTTCTCATTAGTTAGATGTAAAAACAATTAGTTACAAATCGTTAAAATAATTCATTTCGATAGACGTGGGCTCTGCATGGCCAGGAGGTTAGGGAGGTCGACTCGCGGGTTCGAATCCCCGTTCCACTAAACATGCTCGCCCTTTCAGCCGTGAGGGCGTTGTAATGTGACGGTCAATCCCACTATTCGTTGGTAAAAGAGTAGCCCAAGAGATGGTGGTGGGTGGTGATGACTAGCTGCCTTCTCTATAGTCTTACACTGCTAAATTAGGGACGGCTAGAACAGATAACCCTCGTGTAGTATTGCGCGAAATTCAAAACAAACAAACGATAGACGTTTTGTCTTACGCCATCGTTGGGGCGCACAACCTACACACAATCTCAAGAATAATTAACGAATTGTTTGTTGCTAGCACAAAGCTACACAATAGGCTATCTGTGCTGTGCCCACCGCGGGTATCAAAATCCGATTGGTAGCGTTTAAGCCCTCAGACTTTCCACTGAGCCACCTGAGAGCTATGATGTTAAGAAGCAGATAAATTACAAAATAGTTGGGAGGTGGTACATATACAATCGGTAAGAAGAAAACAACATCAAACTAGCTACAACTAGCGACATTTTATAACACTAGTAATTACAACGTCCTCCAGTGGCCAGCGGTGCGTCTGCAGACTTACAACGCTAGAAATCGTGTTTCGATACCCGTGGTGGGCAGAGCACAGATAGCCCATTGTGTAGCTTTGTGCTTAACTTCAAACAAACAAAGTAACTATTAATGGCAGACATATGAACTCGTTTATTTATGTCTTTTTGATTGCAATTGCCAACCTCGCTCTGATTTTATCTCGTGATTTAATATACCAATGAAACTACTTAAATTCATTTTCCTTCTAAGAAAGTCTTACATTTTTGAGAATTGTTACAGTGCTAAGATAGTGATAAGAGTTTTACAGTAATATATGTAGTTTAGGAAAAACTGACAAAAACGGCATTGAGAGGATAAAAAAATCACGTTTTATGTTATAACTAGAACTGTTACGAAAATCATCAGTATCATAGAAGGAACTAGGAGAAAGGAGATCAGCTAAAAAAAGCCATCTTTCCATGTAAAGTAATGAGAAAATAAACTTTAAAATCACGATTGAATTAACATTCCCGTCCTGGCATTAAAGTTACAGTAAAAATACGAGTAAATTTAGAAATAGAAAATTAAAGCATTTTTTTTATGAAAGTAAGTTGAACCGACGTACTAGAAACCTTTTCGATGACGAGGAACCCACTTTGAGACTAATAATGGCTGGAGACGGCTTGAATGGGTGATGAAGAAAAACTTTAATACAACTGCAAATATACAACGTTTCGACAAGGTTTTGTCATCATCAGGTACCTGTGTGATTTCAGTGGTTGTAAACAATTTAGCAACAGAAGTAAAAGCTGAAATAGCAAAGTCAAAAATACAAATGAGATATACAGGTCAATTTTATTTTCTTAAGTATATTAAATGATAAAACTTTTCATTCCACGAATGGAGTTTTACAAAGAAAACTTAAGTTAATTTTAATTGATAACTTAAACAGACTGCAAACTGCGGTAATCCTAGCTAACGAGTAAACATTTTATAAACTGTCGTTTATGGAAAGATTTGGCAGCTCGAAAAATTCGGCATAGAGACCCATACATCTGTGAATATTTGGATCTATTGTTTGTTTTAGCGGTAGCCTGGTTAAGGGGTTGGTGGATGAGGAGGAGCTTCTGGTTGACATAACTGTGAATTTTGGATACCTTACAACGCTAGAAACCGGGTTTCGATACCCGTGATGGGCAGAGCACAAATAGCCCATTGTGTAGTTTTGTAGTTTATCTAGATAGTAGATAGGGACAGTGGGGATCTCGTTAATCCATTCATGCGCGTCACTAATTAGATGACGAGGCATGTGGCTACCTTAAGAGAGTCATAGTCATATACTCACTGTCACCTTATACCTATAAATAATGCTTCTAATGGATAATGTCACCCTTAATTTCTTGGAATTATAAGAAGGAACATGAAAAATAACACATTTTCCTGAACAAGTTTCAAGGCAGATATACTAGATAGAAATATTTCATCATGCCTGCCCTGACTAAAATAAAAACGAGAGAGAACCGCTTCAAAATACCAGCTACATATACGAGTCGCTGAACACATGAGATTATCCAGCAGAACTGCCGAAAAATACTTAAATGTTTCAAATTCTCTAACATGCATACAAAAGAAAAACAAGAACCCCCCCACAACTCCATAATCAGTTTCAAACTTCTTAACTCTGGATGTTCGAAAAATGAACTTTTAATAAATTAAAGCCTGTTAACTACAGATGAATTCCCAATCCTCAATAGTAACCTAAGTTCCTTCCAGCTATCTATATTGTGATTTAAAATTACCTCTTCTATTTTGACATAACGACCAAACTCTCGGTTAGCGTTGATATACTGACTCTCTACTTTTATCTTCTCTCACAACATTAATACGTCGTGTATGTTAAGTACGTAGTTTATAAAACATACATAACCACCAAACTCTCGGTTAGCGTTGATATACTGACTCTCTACTTTTATCTTCTCTCACAACATTAATACGTCGTGTATGTTAAATACATAGTTTATAAAAACATTTTACAATGATGCAAGTTGATTCTCATAGACAAAATAATAATCATTCTTTTAACTTCTCTTCTCTAACATTTAGGTTTTGGATCTTTTAACACTGCACAACTTTGTACACAATAATAACAAGAGATGCTACGTTCTTATCTCATACTTATGTTTGAATATCAGACACTTAACACAGCCAATAAAAAGTTTTATTTAATGTTCTCACAGAACAGTCATATAAAACCGCATGCGACATAAATATAGATCTAGCGTTTTTATTCGTTTTTTCCACTACGCATTTTGAGTGAAATATACTATTAAAAGCGTGTGTATCATTTTTGCTAAGCCTTCTGATGGTTCGTAGAAAAATCCAGAAAGGTGTGCAGTCGTTCGGGAACATGGTTTAGAAATATCACTATAATAGAAACGGCTGATATGGGTATTAAAAACTTTTATTTAAAACACCTAAGTTTTAACACCCAT